TAATTTTTTAATACTAATTTAACTCAATGAAGGATACTTATTGTCGATTCAATCTTTGAGGTTCTTTATTTTATTTTATTCCCCTTAACTTTATTTTGTTCTATTATTGGTGAAATGCTTCGATAGTTAATTTTCACCCAAATGGAAATCCTAACCATCTTTTACATTGAAAGTTTACTATTTTTGATAAAACATTTAAATAATTTAATGATGATTTATTTATGGTGAAAATAAGAGATTTTAAATTCAACTCATATGATATATAGATGAAATAAATTAAGAAATGAAAAGAATTTTTTTTTATAAACTCAAGATTAAAAAAAATAAAAAGCTTTTTAGTATTGCAAAGTTTGAACGTTTAACCTTAATTAACCTCAAATTAAGATTAAGTTTTTTTTAGTTACTACTTGGGACCAGCAAAACTCTTGTTGGTAATCTCTCTCTTTATTCTCTTGTTGATACTAATACTATAATATGACTTTTTTACCATTAGCATGTGGAATGTGGAAACTTACTGCCTAACTTTGATGGGTAAAGACTTTAGCATGACATATAATATAATATCATAAAATTACAAGAGGAAAAGTCTTAACCAAAATGAGGGCACCCACCAAATACCAAATGTGAAACCTTGTCAAGTTTATCCCAAAACACGTATAAAGTAGGCCTCACTTACATTTAGATATTTAGTGGTTACAATTGCATTGTAATCTTCATTGATTTGGAATATATGGAAAGTGGACAAGTTGTCAATTTAATTACATTTTTCAATTGTAATCTAGTTACAAATTCAAGCTTGATATCACAAATATGGGATTTTATTGGGTAATATACTCTTAAAATTCCATGGGGAAAAAGGATTCTATGCATGTTGCATAAAAAAGACAATAAATCAAAGACAAAAATAATTATCAATTAAGGCCCTATATACCTTCATTTTGGTCTTGGCAGGTGGCCTATCAATCCAATTTGGTGACATTATAACATGTTAATCATCCCTTTTATCTTTGATAAGCTGTTTTCTGTTCCTTTAAGTAACTGGAACTATAAAATTAATCAACCAAATTCATGCAACTTGATCCTCTTCTGGAAGTTATAATAAGTCCCAAGTTTGAATCATGATAAAGGACAAGAGAGATGGGAGATTGTTACTTTGTTTTGTGTTAATCTACTAGTAAAGAAAAAAAAATTATAATTTTTCATGTTAAGTAAATGTTATGGATTACATTTATATAAAAACGATTAAACTACAAAGAAAGGAACATCTAAGAGAGTGATTAGGTCTACCAAAATGGCTAAGCCCTTTTATGTTTGCTAACCAATAATTTATGGATGTGTTTGGTGTGCCTAATGTTTTACATTCCAAGTCACCTGGCAGGTGAAGCATTTCCTTTTCAATTTAATTGACAATTTTAATAAACAATTCCAGGAAGAAGATTTTATTCTTGGGATCTTACCTTGTCATCCAACCCCATTTTTTAAATCAAAATTAATATCAAATTCTTCATTTAATCCCAAGAGGAAGAAGAAGGACATGCAAGTACATGATCTCTCTTCTTATCTTGTAGGGCTAGAATACTGCAGGAATCAATAATACTTTCCTCTTTTCTGCTTTTTTTTGAACAATTTTTTTTTTTTTTTTACCTTAACAATCAAGTGTTATCTCAAATCAATTTTATTGGTATTAGACTTAAATCAACCACTTTAATCTGGTTAAAAGCAGACAATCTAAACCAAATCTAGGTTGTTATTTTTTTAATGTTGATTGTTAATGGGTTATTGGGTGGAAGGGAAGTGTTGTTGCCTTCCACTTATTTTGTTTATATTCTCAGCAATGATTAGTGGGTGATGGACAAATAGAAAAGGAAAAAGAAAAGAGAGGATGCATGTGGTTGTTTTAATGGCACTTTCTTTCCCCTTGCCCTTTTTCTGGCCGACCTTTCTTCTTGCCCTTTATATTTATTTATTTATTTATTTGTATACTGTGTTTGGACAGGTTTCATTCACATTGCCATACTAACACAATTTCCCATTACTTTGAGTTCTAGGTCTAGCTATAATTAAGAAGTAGCAAAAAATTCCAAGTAATAGATATCTATTGACTTTTTATATGGGTGGAGGGAATTTAGAAAAAGAAAGAGTTATGTCTTTTTGTATAATTTATTTGATTGAAAAGAGTGACGATTTCCAAAGATAAAAGGTGCAGTGTTAAATAGAGTTTTCAATAATGTGGCAATTCCTGGCAAAATAGTGCTCCCAAGAGAAAAGAAAATCTTAATGTCGATTCTCAATCTAGGATACAACATGAGTAACATACATACATGAATCTAAATTTTATTGTTTGGGAAAAGAGAAAATCCCAAGAGAATCAGTGGAGTGAGACCCATTACCTATGACATGCCAGATAGTGCCTCCTTGAGTGAGACAAGGTTAAATGTCACAAAGGAAAAAGTCAATTTCAGAATTTTATATTATATACCATAAAGTTGATACGGTACATTTCACTTAGACCAAGGTTGAGAATCCCAAAAGACCACAAACTCTCTCAAACAATGAAATAAATAATCATATAACCTAAAACTTCATTCTCTGTCCCCCAAGATTGTTCTCTAAGAAAAGCAACCTCAAAATGAGCCAGGTTTTTTTTTAGTTCATCATCTGACCATGTTAGTTTAAAGGACATGTTAGATTCACCCAACGACACTCAACTTAAAATTTTCAAAGTTATCCTGGGAAGAAGACGGATTCCCACTAGGGCAGATTGTCCTTTTTCATAGATTTTCTGCTGTCAATCACAGATTGTCCAGTTGTAAAGAAGAATAGAGTAGTGTAGTTGTTGTTGTTCAAGTTGTCCTAAGTTGACTCTCAAAGGGGTGGTAGTTTGATTTGTAAGTAGGGTTTATTCCTTATTTTGCTGATGATAATGGTTTGATTCTGGTAAACTTTGTGAGAAGTAATTCTTCATAAATTCCTTAAATCTCAGTATAGGGGTGCAAATTGACCTAAAACACCATATGATTGCTAATATAAAATTATCTTGGTCATGATCAAGATCTAGTATAAAGTACATAATATAAGAATTTTTTTTAATTTGTACCCTAAAAATGTAGTAATTGTATATTTTTCTTATTAATTGTTATGAAAAAATAAAAATTGACTTCATTTTTATTAACCATACAATTAGAATTATACACAGGTCATTGGTGTTAAAAATAAAATTAGTTAAAAATAAAGTTAGTTATTATCTTTTACCATACAAATTAATTAAAAAAATATACAATTAATACCCTTAACATGTGCTCTAATAATATAATACTAACAAAAGGTTTTGTTTCTTTGATTGGCTAAATGATATGATGGACACATTAACTTGTCCACAAATGATTCTCACTTATCCCTTCTCTTAACTACTTTCCACGGAGGAGCCTATGAGGGTTCATTTCTGTGCCCACCCAGCAACAAACATATTTGCTATTGGAACACGTCAACACAAGAACTAAATGAATACATTAAATAATGTAAACCCTAGATTACATAAGACAAACAAGTCCTAATTGATTTTCCTTGCCCCACTGCCCCCTAACATGGGTTATTGAATTAAGCAAAACTTGTTCTACATATTTATAATAATAGATTTTCTCCTTCAATTATTGGTAATGATCTGTCACTGTCTGAACTTGAACCAAAATGGATGGTGTGCCTGAACTGGTATGGATTTCAGGGTTCAACTCTAGACTCAGGCCATCTGAATAACTTCATCCTTCAATTGCTATGACCATGTTTTTACCACTCATATGTCAAAATCTACATGATTTCCTCTCCCTAGTGTACAGGCAGATGAACAAAGCACTAGCAGAAAATTGCAGATCAAACCTCAAAAGAACAGTAAAAGTTAATTACACAATGCACTTCAATAGATGCATTGACATAAATATTGCTGATAAGATAAACATGAAGATTTGGTAGAACAAATGCGTTTTACGCTGTCAAACTCCAATTAAAATAACGTGTCAAAAAAAAGAAATTAGTCAAACAAATGTGTTCCCCATTACATGATTAGAGTAGAGCAAGATTAAATAAATAATGGTTTGATCCAATAATCTGTTGTCTGCCATGTATGTAGGAGGCTGATATGTACTATGCATCAAGGAAAGGAAAAAGAATGGTAGTACATCAAAAAAATTGATTCCACTGCAATCATTTTAACCAATTAAAGACAAAGTGTGCACGAGTGTGTGCCTTGGTGAGTAATCTATCCCTTGCTTATCCAAACACAATGATGATGATGATTACAATAAAATAATAGCAGTATTAATATAAAATGTAGAACATTATCAAGGATGGAGCTTGAAAGGAAGCTGGAATTTTAATTATGAACAGGAAAAAAGGGATTAAAGTAGAAAAGAGGCATCTGGCCGCAGAATATGGTGGGGGGTTGCACATGCTAAGCATTAACTGAGGTGACCTTATGAATCATATAATTTAAACATCTGGACAGAATTTAAACACTAGCATTAATCCTGACTGAGTTTTCTTACTGAAAAGCTAATGTAAAATGATAGTCTTAAACAAACACAGAAACAAAAGAAAAGTACAAAGATGTCTTTTCTTTCAAGAATCATGTAATTCATCAGCTATAACATTATATTGACAGCTCTTAATTTGAAAAAGAAAAGGGTAAATACTTTTCTAAGACTGTAACTATACCTAGATGCTCTGAGCAGTTGAATGTAATATTATCATGATAATTGTAAGAAGGAGAATTTAGACAGACCTCAAGAAGTAGTTAAGAGGATACTCTGTCTAGGAGGGAGTTGGAAGCTGCAAGCTGCTTGTTGAGGTTTTGGGCTTCACTATGTAATCAAGTTTGATTTCTGCCGGGGAAGACTCTGGAACTTCCTCTTGGAAAGGAATCTCAAATAGAAGGGATTGGTATAAGCAGACCTCATCTTCTTTGCAATAGTACACCTTCAAAGACAAGCCAAATCAACTTGATATGCTTAGTGAAGATGACTAATTGAAAAAAAGTTAAAGATTGTTCTAAAGAAGAGTAATTCAACCTTATTGGTCTGAGATCATATTCACTTATTTAATATAATATGTGCAATGATAATCTTGTGAGTAGGTTTGTCATATGGGGTCATATAGTTGCAAAGCAAAGACCGCTAGGATGTGAAACCAATATAGTTATGGAGCCTTTGTTCCAATTGGATCAATGGAGTTATTTAATCAAAACATTAGAGGGAAGGGAGATGGAAAACTCAGAAAAACTTGTCTGCTAGCACCTTCAGTGTGGCTGTTTGGTTTTGGGCTTAGCACTGGAAGCTTGGATGTCAATCTATCTCAACACCAGGATGATAAAGTTTCATTGTAATGCCAAACTGATGAATTACTGAAGGCCCCAATAATTGGTTGAGATCCAACTGGGGATATGTCTTTCCAAAGCTATAGATTGCGTTAGCAGCCATAATAAGGATGAACAGTTATGGAGGTATTCTTTGGGGTCATGCCTATGCATTCAAAGGCAAGGAAGTTGTTCTACTCATAAACAAGGGTAAGGTGTTGCGCCTCCCAAAACAAATTTTAATTGAAACTGTGTAAACAATCTTTCATTTTGCATTGGTGACAAACTGAAAAATGAGAATGAGGAATACCTTGCAATTAACTCTCCCTACTGAAGCTGAGGTTGAGGATCTTCTAAAGTGAAGGGTTACAGTTCCTTTTGGACTAAGGTTTCCATCTGAGGGTTCAATCAACATGGCATTTTCAGGTTCAATGTCAATGCTGAATTTGCTTTGTGCTTCCTGCAATTGGTATTAAAGGGCAAAATATTTATAACCAAGATGCTGTTTAAATATAACAAGCTTGATGAACACAAAAAGAGCTAAGACCTTTGAGAAATGGTATTCTTCAGGTAATGATATTTTAAGATATAGGTTCCCCTCATTTGATGAACCACCATTAACAATAATGGACTCTGTGTCAGCTGAGGATCGCCTTCGGAGGCGTTTCAAAGATTTGGATTTCCGTGGCGGCTGGACTCCTTTCAGCTCTAAAGTAAATAGTTCAGCTTCTTCCTTGTTCAAATCTAGATATCTTATCACGCTGTTGTTTGTATCAGCTATAAAAAGCCTCCCTAAAAATTAGTAAAGAAACAACTTAAGTACATTTTTATTACTAACAGAAAAGGTAATTAAAATTGAAATCCATCGTTGAAGAAAATAGTAGACACTACTATTACAATTTGTATCATAACATAACAAGCACAAAGTTTGTTGCTAGAGTTTCAGTTGAATCCAAGACAACAGAACTTGTAGGGTTCCCCAATACGATATACACGTAGTTTCTACAAAATACAATATAAATATGGTTTGTCATTCTTTTTATAAGTTCTTACTCTTCCTATCATTGGTATCAAGAGGAATTAAATTTTAGTGATCTGAAGAACATTTTAGTCATTAAGCATATCATCTGTTAATGTGAAAATATATGAAGAGAAGCCGAGTTGATATAGTTTCAGTTCAACCAAAATTTCAATTTATACAATAAATGGCCAAGTTGAGCATGTAGGAACTGAAAGAAACTAAATAAACTATTGACTGAGAAAGACACATTTTGAACCTCAACAGTATTTAATAAAGTTTTATAGTTGGATCTAATAAGAATTTGGCAAATCATTTATGGTATAAGAGATATCAGTAGAAAAGAGCATCACCATTTTCTGCTAGGCTGATCCCTGCTGGCTCAGATAGCTGAAAGAACATAACAAATGTATTAATGTGTCTCTTCCACAGCTACCAATAAGTGAAGGTAAATGAACTAGAACTAGCTTTGTTCATTGGTTTGACAAGCTGTGAAAAGTAATTATCCCATTGAAAAAATTTAACTTTGAGTCTATAAAAGGAGAAACAAGTCTACATCTTCCATCTTTTGACAACCACTTCCTGCAAATGATCTCTGGTAAATTTTAAGCCATCACCAGTTGCTTGAATATATTTCAAATGCTACCTGAGCTGCTAGGGGAATTCCATCCTTGAAACCAGCTTTCCCTGTTCCTGCTACTGTGCTAACTTTTTTACTAGCTGGATCTAGCTTCTTGATCTGCAAATTGGAAAGGAAAAATAAATGCTCAAGCAATTTAACCCCAGGCAATTCCTCTTGTTTACTCTATTCAGGATAGTCCAGTTCAATCCATAATAAGCCAAATATTAGCCATACTTATGCGATCCTCAATGGAAAGGCCCTTCAAATATAAATAATTAGTTAGGTGATGCTAATTTGAGGGAGAATATTGATTAAAGGAATTTTTGCAATTGTTCATCTTCAGAGGTCAATTGAGCAGGATCAGTGGCAGTTGATAAATGCGAATTCATATCACAACAGGGTAAAATGGCCTACTATGTTCTAAAGATGACATAATCTCAAGAGGCTGTGTCTTAAATAAACATGTTAATTCACCTGCAATTTTGAGGTTATATTTCTTTTTTCTCATCGAAGGAAAAAGAATTGAAGTATATGAAGTTTTATGGTTATCTGTTGATAGATAAGGACCTTAGATTGGAAATAAATGATAATTAGAACGAGCTTCAAACAAATAAAATTCTCCATTTCATATAAAAAAAATGGTAGATAAAATTTTCCACAATTTTCATATTTACCAAAAGAACATTAAGGACATCAGATTTTGAAGTCAGATGAAAGTATATTCATCCATAAAAGGAGTTTGATTATTCATCAATAAAAGTAGGAAGTAGTGGTCCAGACAAGATTGTTACGTACTAAAAGTGTTGCTTCAACAAGCAAAATACAATTCTATACCTTAGCTTCAATCAAGTATTCAACATGTCATAAAATCAAATTTATGTAGAGCATTTATGCATCATTCACAAGGCACGTCAGGCCCAAGATCAATAGTTAAATAGTTAGCATGTACTAATTTTTAAAACTAGTATGGGGGGTGTTTTCCAAAAATGAGTATAAATCATTATCCAGGCAACATAAATAGTTGTTCAAACATGATTGCCTGAATTAAATGAATAGCATCCTAAAAAGCATAATGGGAGAAGGGTATGCTCCTCCACAAATGACAGAGAACTGCTGCAATCTTATTGTTCATATCCATAAATGTCCATGATGATTTCAGTAGGATTTAAATTTTCTGTGCTATCTTTAGTCATGATTTAAATACCTTGTGGTTGTAGCTGTCTGCTATGTAAATTTGACCATTATTAGCACATAAGATGCCTAATGGATGCTGAAGAAGTACTTCAGATCCTATACCATCATGGTCTCCAAACTGAAAGGAGTAAAACAGGCAATAAATATCAGAAGAATTTTGGGTTTAAAGCATAAAGGTTCTTAAACTAGGACTCTTACCAACATCTTTGTATGCCATTTGCCATTTGTCAGTATAATGAACTATGTTATCCAGAAGAAACCAATTTCACAATTTAAAATAAATACCCGAAACAAATTCTCTGAGAAAACAGGGTCACCCCCAGCTAGCAATCTGGATCCTCCGGTTTTCAGGTTAAGAGCTCGAATAGAGCTACTCTCACTATCAGCAATATATGCCTCCATGAGATCTGTGAATAAGGATTCAAGAAAAAGATTTTATTATAATGATGAAAGTGGTAGAAATGATTTTTATTATGGATGATCACAATAAAACTGCAAAGATACCAAAAATATTACCAGGAGATAATGATATTCCAGATGGTTGTGCAAAGGATGTGCTTGTAGAGCTACATCATTCCAAACAAAAAGAATGAAAACTCAAACATGATTTATTGCAGACGGTCTGTACAGATCATTTTTAAGTTTATTACCTTGGTCCATTTAAGTTTCTTTCAAAACCATCACCACTAAATGCTCTGGTAACTCCATCTAGTGTGTTATGTTCCCATATCTGATGTTGGCCAGCCATTGCAATGTAAACCTTCTCGTTTACTGGATCAAAGCAGATATCCCAGGGAGAGTTGAGCAGCTGAAAGAAGATGGATATGAATTTTAAAACTAAGGACAGAGATAAATTCAAGAAATTTTAGATTAAAGAATTTAGATTATTAGATATGCACTCAGAAATATTGTCTTGAGGAAACAATGAGGTTAAGAATATTAATATGCCCAACTTGATGAAGAACATTTATGAGAATGCTTATGCATGCAGCTTGAAAATAGGTTCTAAGTCTGCATGTTCTGGTCTTGCCTGAGAGGCTCCTCTTTCTCCTCCTTTGTAGTCTGAACCTTTGGTTCCATTTCCAGCAAGAGTTCTCACTCTTTCATTAACAAAATCAATTTCCCTGCAGTAGGATCACGTCAACATTGATGATAATGATAGTGGTGGTGATAATTCAGGATTCAGTAGTCCATAATCATAATAAAACAATTTTTAAATTCATCTAGATTATCAAAATCAAAGCATCTGTGAATTCTGCAATTAAATATTGCTCAAAGTATACAAGGAATTAAGAAACAAGTCCACATTCGGAAACTTTACAAACAAACATATCATTTTAAGTTACCACACACCTCAAAGCATGATTTTCAGTATCAGCAACATAAAGAATATTTTTCTTTGCATTGTAAGCCAGACCCTAGAGAAACACAGAAGCATGAGTTAATAATAGGACACAAGGCACAGCCAAGGAACCTGACAATGCATGCAAGCAAGAATTTTTAAATGAAAGGAGTTGATAATATATAAAAGTACAGCTAAGGATAGATGATCACCATAATAGCTGTAAAATCACATATTAACTTAACCCTTACCTGAGGGCGATTAAAGGTGGCATCATCATAGGAGCCATCACGTAAACCCTCCTCTCCTGTACTCCCAATTTGGACAATAAAGTTCCCATCTAGGTCAGTTACCACCTGAACTCATATTTACCAGGATGATAAAGATTAGGAGTATGAAAGCAGAATCACATAACAAGTCATCATGCTCAAAAGAAAGGAAAAAGAAGCTGCATAGATTATCAACGTAGGCTTAAATAGTTGGGAGAAGCATAAGCTAATAAGGCTTGCCTATATCTCTAGGAAGTCAGGATGACTAATGAGGATCTTTGCAGAAAGGGGATAGCTAGTATTACTCACCCAAATACAAGACACTTCCACAGAAGAGATCTTACTTTTTTTTGTATGGCTATGCCTCCACATATATATGTATGCTTGTCAGTGTGTGAACATGAAACAATTTATGAGTGTGCTTAATGTGTTGGTGTTTGCACATATGCTTGAGCACCTCTGTGTGTGTCGGTGGGGAGCAGAGAGTGAAAAAGAGAACTTACTATGCGGTTATGGTTGCTGTCTGATATGAAGAGGCGATTGTTAAGGATATCTATTGCCAACTTTCCAGGAAACTTCAATGGAGATGTAAGCAAGCGAGGATCATTATCTTTTTCCAGCCTCAAGGGAAGTGGTTTGTTGTTTAACATTTTCTTTCTACCATAAAACAGAATAGCAGCCTCCACTAAATCATCAAGATCCTAAGAAGACAGAAGAAATAAAATTTTGACTTCAGTTCTTGTTATTTACCACTGGCGGTCATTGCCATTGCAAGTACTCTGACATATGATGAAGTTGAACTACAACCGTTCTATTTCATATAGGACTATAAATTTATCTCAAACGGGTCATTTCAGAAACGAATGTCTATGGATAGTATACATTTTGAAAACTAATTGTGGACTTATGGAACAGTGGAGATGATTTCACGTATATGACTCTAAATCACCATTTACTGTTAAACATGTGCCTACATGACAATCAGAAGCCTCAAGTAAAATAATTGCAAAAAATAATCATGGATGCACTTTGAGCTCAATAGTGGTGCAGAAGCATTTCACTTCCCAATTTAGGCCACCATCATTACTCATTTTTCTATATATATCTTAATCCTTTACCGACCTCTTTACTCCCATCAACATTTCTTCTCAGGTTACTCCAATGACAAAAACAATGTCAAGTGCCTACCTAACTTTTTTTTTTTTTTACAATGGTTATGCCTTGATGGATATATGAGAACACTCAAACAAAATGAACCAAAATGTTGAAGTTGACAACCCAAAATGTTCAGTTACCATGAGAGAATTTAATTAGAGATGAATCAAAATACATGCATAGAGACAAAATAGCAAAACATTCAGATTGTATACCCACTTTATGCGTAAATTAAATCCTTATGCATTTTTTGAAAAGCACAGAGCTCATTTAACATATTTTTAGAAAAAATATGGTAAGGATTACCTTTCGGTGGCCTTCACCTGATAATTGTGCTAGGAGCTTACCATTTGGCCCAACAACTGCAAATGTAGGCCATGAATTTACACCTAGTTCTCTCCATAAATTCATATCTTCATCATTGACAACCTAAATTAAAAAAGAGACTCCAATACGGTAAACTTCATCATGCTGATGAAAATATAAGAAATGAGAGAAAAAAACTGTTCAAGAAAATTAATAATAAAAGAAAAGATTAGACTTCAAATATAAAATTTTGATTGGGAAACTGCCAAAAAAGGTCATGATTTGCTTGCATCTTTTTTATTTCCGGAAACAGTTTGTACCATTTCAAAAGTAATGCAATATTAACATCTGGATCTAGTCTAGTTTTAAATCCTGGAAGTGAGAGTTGTCTTTTCTTTTACAAAGAAAGATTACCCAAAATATTTCTTTTAAAAAAATCAAATCCTTTTAGAGCAATCAAGATTCTGCTTAAATGAAGTTCTGAACATTTGACTTACAGGATGTGAGATGCCATAACGTAATACTGCATTACGGATGGCCTCTAAATCTTTCTCATTATCAAACTTTGCAGAGTGTACTCCAACAACAGCAAACTGACAAAAATGCACATACAAAATAACCATATACAAGGACACAGGTTAAACTGTTAAAGATTTGGCCAATCCACTTAGAGTAGGTTGAGATAATCTGAAATGAGAGAAGAAAACTTACTGGCATATCTTTGTATTTATTCTCCAAAAACTCTAGATCTGGTAAAACATGCATACAATTTATGCAACAATAGGTCCAGAAATCCAGCACAACTACTTTTCCTTGCAAATCCTGCTCAGAAAGTTGATAATTTTGGAAATAGAACTAACTGAATCAGCTAAACAAAGTGATAGTTTCACAACAAAGCTTGCATCACCAATAAAACAAATAAACTATTGCACTGTCAAACAGAATTTACCCGGCCAAACTTAAGTGGAGCTGTATTCAACCAGTCAAGTTTAGGTGGAAATTCAGGTACAGTACGAGCAGTCCCCCTGGAAAAGTGAACAAGGATACAGTTACAACCAATAAAGCATAAAGTTTAAGAAGCTGCGACAAAACATGTCACTAATGATAGTATGAAACAGCAAAAATAGAACTTACTTGGCTTCCAGATCAGAAAGATAGTTCACAAATTGTTGGATTCTTTCATCTTGTGAATCTCCTATAAGAGACTACAAGATTGTCAGTTAATGAAATGGCATTGCGTAAGTGCTCCATAGAAACTTACTCATAGGAAGAATATGAAAAGATAACGAAAGGCAATCAACTACGTTAAAAAATTAATTGAAAGATATATACTGAACAAATATAAGAAAAGAAAAAAAAAAAAAAAAAAACCAACAGTATACCTTCATTCTGCTTAAAAGATGGACTTTTGACTCCAAATAGCAAATTCCAAATAGCTTTTGGTGATGCATATTGCATTGCCTTGTTTAACCAAGTTTCACACATAATAAGCATGCAAAGGTAAAGAAAGAGGAAAATCAATCTCAAATGCCTTCTTTTCTTTAAATAAAGGGATTGAACAAAAATCCAATGGAGGTACAGTTTCCAGCATTCTTTTCTATAAGTTTTACCTTCCAGTTTGTGATGGCATAGAAGAAACAGGACAAAGAAATGCCCAAGCTTCCATATCTCAATATATCACGCCTAGAACCCTGCAACCTGTCCATAAATTATTTCTGCAACCTCAAGTTTTAATGGTGCTCCGCTTGTTATTTCATATCTTACTCAAAGAAAAAATAGAAAAAGATAGAAAAAACCTCTGCTTGCCATATTGGGTTGGTAAATGTGGTGAAAACTAAATAATTATTCACATGGTATGAATTGAATTGCCCATAATCTGACTTCCAGGAAAAATGACTTGCCAATAAAGTGACTTGCCAATAAAGTGAAGAGGAAAAGAACTTTACATTAATAAAGAGCTATCTATCTTAGGCTAGGATTTTTCAGGCAATTTAAGGAACTAAATTACAAAGAAAATTCTGCACAGAGACTATCAACATGGTTTGCTTAACGTTTTGCCCAAACACTGGAGACACATCTTACCCCCTAAGTGTGGAAGTCCCAACATTAGCCACATCTCTATCAAGGACTGATCCATTATCAGTTCTTTCTTTGACCATTGCTGATGAATTTTGGGCAGGAGCATGCAGAACCTGAGGTCCCTGCATCTTCTCATCTGCAATGATATGTTTTCATTAGGTCTCTATGTTCTAGATATACTTAGTTCTAGTTAATATCCAGGAAGAGAATTGTTAGGAGAAGAATATCAGGCTACTAGTTCAAATGTGAGCTCTTGCCCCATCATCTCATCAATTTTCAAGATCACAAGTCAATAATCTTAGCTTGTAAGTGCACATCAATGGACTTCACATATAAAAAGAAATATTTCCAATACAATTACAAGAAAATCTATCTCATGCATGGTCCAGAATATTGCAAAAACCAGCATTTTACACTATTGATGGTACAAAATTATAATTGTAGCATATTCTCAAAACTACATACTATAGCGACCAGAGCCACCACTGAGAATATCATCAAGTGAAACATTTCCAATATCATTTCTGATTATTGATGGACCAGCATCTTTTAGAGTCTCTTCTGTCAATGTGGTCGTCACAGCTATACATCTGCCAACAAAAGAGAGTAGATATAGTAGTTTACTATAAGAAGGATACTAAAGTACACATGAATGAGGAAAAGATTGGTAGAAGAAAAGAACTGTCCAGTGCAAAAAGACAAGGGAAAAGTAGAAGACTGAATACATTGAACATGCATTTAAACCATTTCCTTCACTTACTCTGAAACCTAAACATCCATAGAAGTACATATGACATCAAATCAAATGTGCAAATAAGCAGATTTACCTCATTTTTGCAGCCTTCGCAGCCTGCACTCCAGCCAATGCATCTTCTATAACAATACACTGACGTAACAGGCAAATATTATTTCCTCAGGGAAAAAATAGATAACTGACAATTCTTTTTTTTTTTTTTTTTTTAAAAAGGATTTAACAACGAAATGATGATGGAAAAGATATGAAATATAAAAAAAGTTATCCAAACAGTAGATTATTGAATTGTTAAGAAAAAATTGAAATTTTAGAAGAGAAACACTTAGTGAGTACATCTAAGATCTTTGATGCAGCTTGATGTTATTGTAACCAGTATTAAGGAGAGAATACTACTGCATAACTTGCTTGTTTACCTCACTAGGGGATACATCTAAGATCTTTGATGCAGCTAAGAAAATATCAGGAGCAGGTTTCAAATTCTCAAAAGCATCTGCTGACACAATTGCATCAAACCTGACAGAGAGAGACTAGCATTAAGTAAAAAAAAAAAAAAATGATGCTGCATTGATGGAAACTGCAATTTACGGAAAGTATGCTGTGTATTCAACATCATGCAAAAATATTATTCTTCCATTACAGATTTATTAACAAATTTAAGTTCCACTGAAGGACAGTGTAATTTGAACTAAAAATTAAACCAGTTTGCCAGCATTTACTATAATCTGGAGCATTAACAGTCTAAGTTACAGAAACTCAAGCCAAATTTTAATCAGGATACTCTATCAAGATGAAATGAATCATATGATTAGTAAAGAAAGTTATCAACACTTCAATAATTAGAAGGAATAGCTAGAAGATAGATATATATTATTTAATATGTAAATTTGACATGTAGAAGAAGACTGGGTTAGCTCACATTGACAATGGTAAGCCAGCAGCAGCTAAATTTGCATCAACCTTGATACGATCAGCGCTAGATGCAACAGCAACTTTTAGGCCTTTGTTTTTACACTGTTGTACAACAAGGTTAAACCACAAGATCACTAAAGGTGGCAGTGAGGAGATGGCACCATGCCTTTTGTGAATCACTATCTTACGTACCTGGGTAATGATTTCAAGGGCACCTGGAAATCCAATTCCAGAATTTGGTTTTGCATACTACAAGAAATTAAAGAGACTTTCAAGGTTTGGAAGAAAATGATAAGTTTTACTGGCATCATGCAGTAAAATTGTTTTTTTATACATATATGGAAAGCCATTATCAGTCACCTTATCTAGATATATCTCAAAAAATCTCTTTTTAGCGGCCTGAGGATCAAAGTCTTTTACTCCCTTAACAGAGGCAACACCTCCTAAAAAGTTTGCTTCACCTGGTAGGTAAATAAAATGTAAAAAATGCAGATGAGATTGAAGACTTAACATCAATTATACCTTTACCCCTTTTACAAATTGAGAAACTGATTGATGGATTCTCAATTTACTTAAACTATATAGAACAGAAACTGCTATCATAGAATTTAAATTTCTCACGATTAGATTGCAAGAATAACAAGAGGGTCTAGCTTCTAAAAAAATGTTACAGCCTAGCAGCGCTGAGAGACCCAACTCCAACAATCAAAAAAAAAAAATTTCAAGGGGACAAATTAATCTCATAGTCATATTCCTCACTTGGTTATTCTCCTTCAGTTTCTAACTTTTCACCTATCAAACAGCTCTTGCTTATGCTGATATAGGCATAACCTCGCATCCATTCTGACTTTTCAGTTTCCAAAAAGCAACACCAAATTTTGAATTTTAGCTGCCTTCCAATTATAGAAAAAAACTGAAATCATCTTCAAAAATCATTTGTTACCAAAATCCACCATCCAAATTCCTAAAATTTGACACCTGAGCTTACAATTATCAAACAGATATAATAAAACTAAGTACACTACATCCTTTACCATCCAATATAAAAGAATTAATCAGCGCAAAAAAAAAAAAAAAAGGATAAAAGAAAGAAAAAACTTCACCCATTCCCATGAAAGGCACAAAGTCGTCCACTGTAACTTGGACCCCCATTTCCGCAAAAACATCCACAGCCGCCATTCTCGACGGCTCCTCGCTGTTGCAGAGCACTCCATCCATATCAAACAGCACCGCAGACACCTTACCCCACTCTCCCGCCCTGCTTTCTCCAACATTCTTCTCCTCCACCTTCACACACGCCTTCACCACCATTGGACGCGTAAAAACCCCACCTTTCGACCTCAATCGAGAAAGTGACTTCGAAATCGAGATGGGTTTCAGAGATGAGAACAAGAAAAGCTTTCTGGAGTGAAAATGACATAGAGATGGTGGAGGTGAGAGAAGCTCCATGGCCATGGTTAACTGATTTTCTGCTTTGAGTGGCGGGTAAGTACTCAAGGAATTCCATCTATTATCAGTTCTATTCTTGACCAATTTGCCCTTAACTTTTCAAAATATAAGTCTTAATTTTTTTACCTAATTTTAAGTAATATTTTTTTATAGTATTTAAATTATAATTAAAATTTTTATATATAATTTTTATTAAGTAATTTTATTTAATAAAAAAATTTTAATTATTATTTATATATTATAAAAAATGTTATTTATGCCATGAAAAAGCCAAATGCTTATATTTTTTATAACTGGAGGGAGTTGTTTTGAGGTTGAATTGGGTTTTTCGTCTTTTCAAAATTAAGGGTTTTTTTTTTTTTTGTGTGTGGAAAATTGAAGGTGTTTTTTTAGTGGTGGAGAAAATAGAAATTGATTTTTATTTTCAATTTTCATTTCTATTGATGAGGCTTTGAAAATTTGATGGTTTATATCCACTTCTTAACCACTGTTTCATGGGTCCAACCTGAAACTGTGTTTGTGTTGGGCTTTTAGTCCCTACTGGACTGACTCCCTTAAAGGCTTAAACAACTTGAGCTATGACTATGTAGATGGCACGGGTTGCACAGCATAATTCAAGCTTCGTCATGGTCACCTTTCAATTTCTTTTTAAAATAAATCTCAATATTTAGAAGTTACATTTATTTTTGATTAATTTAGGGTTAAGACATATCAAATTTTTCGGGGCAAGAAACTCTCTTAATACTTATCCTTTAGTTCAGAAGATTCAAATTTAAAATTTTATTTTTAAAAAAATCAAGCTGCTTTTATTTGAATTAATATATTATTGGTACCATTCAATTTGTTAAAGCCACTAATAATTATTAAAATTATTTAAGAAAAAAATTATAAATAGAGTAAAATTAATTTTTTAGGAAGTGGATTACATAATCTGATTATGTACCAAAAAAAGAATCTACCAATTAAAAAACAAACTATTTAGTCCCTGAACTTTGTCATTTGATACCAAAATGGTCCCTTAACTTTTTGTTGGTACCATTTTTATTTTGGTGCCGAATTGGAACATCCATTAACCGTCCATTCTGTTTTGGTGATATAGCCATTACTACTAAAAAACAGTTAAATTATTAAGATTAATGTGAAAATTCTAGAATTGGATGACATGGTGAAACCTGTACAAATGATTTAAATATTTTAATATTATTTGAAAATTTTAGACCCACATTTTAATGGAATTTTAATAGAATTTTAATGAAAGGACCAAATTGCACCAAAACAAAGAGTTGAAGGACAAAACATATCAAAAAAAAATTGAGAGAATGTTTTGGTATCAAATGAATCTTTAGCCAACCAAAATGGTAACTAATGTTAATTTCTCAAAAGAACAAAAATGGTACTTAATTAAACCATAACATTACTAGCTTCACTATACATAGGATATAGAAATGAATCAAAAGAAGAATGTGAAGAAAAACAAAGGTGATTAATTTCATTGTTAAGATTTTCTTCAAAATGGGTCAGTACTTGCAATTCTTTCTTCATTCAACACTGGTTCTCTCCCTCCTTTTTCCTTCAACCTGGGGGCGTATTAGCAACATGGAATATGATGCTGTGCAAGCTCAAAATGATGCAAAGATTATCACAGTTGATCAATCAGGCAAAGGAGACTTCAGAACTATCCAACAGGCAATTGATTCCGTTCCCCAAAACAATAACGACTGGATTATAATCAAGATTAATCCAGGAACTTATAAGTTAGTATTAATTATCTTCAAATTTCTTCATTTTTATGCTTGATATAATTTACATGCATGGACAGAGATGGTACAGGCTAGGAGGGATGATGGCCCAAAAAATTTTCAAAACGTTAGGTTATTCTTTTTTTCTTTTTCTTTTTCTTTTTTTTTTTAAAATTGAAAAACTGTTGTATAGTATAAATTGCATAATAAAAATCATTAAATAAGGGAGAAATAAGCTTCTGTTATTGGAATTCTCATCATATCTGACTATCCTTATTTTACAATTTAAAGTAAGAGACTCCTTTTTATTATTGGGCCTCTCAAGATTTATTTTTTAAAATCAAGTAATACCAAATTTAGTTCACAATCTTTACATTTTATCTTAATTTTTCATTTAAACTAAAAATGGTCTCAAACTTTTTTTTTTTTTTTAAATTACCCAAACTAATCCTACCATTGGGAAACGTTTTTAAACTCCCTAAATTTTACTAAAGCTTCGTCTACGTTTAAGGGCATCATCCACTAATGCTTATTACAAGAAACTAGACGTACCAAAATAATGATTTCTAAGTTTATCAATTATCTATGGAAAAAAAGAAAAAATCAAGACATTCAATAATAATTACATGATAAATTTAATAAAATTAAGACTTATATTATAATACACATATTTAATGATTATAATATTGAATGTTATGACATTTTTAATAAGCATTTTGATTTTATTTTTCTCATTATCTATTATGGACCCTTGTGCACATTGGCAGGGAAAAGGTAATAATCCCTAGAGAAAAGCCAAAGATCTTTCTACGTGGAGGTGGAGAATCAAGAACATCAACTAGAATCCAATTTTCAGATGGTGGCAGTTCTACAGAAAGCGCCGTCCTTCAAGTGAATGCAAACAATTTCTTCTGTGCTGATATAGAAATTAAGGTTTTGTAGCCTCAAAATTTGCCCCCCACTTTTTTTTTTTTCTACTCAAGTACATGACAATTTACTTGTTACATATATATGCCTTTTGACAAAAGGTGTGCATTGCATGTAGAACACTTACAACCTTCCCAAACAATTTGATGCAAATGGAAATCCGAAAACATGGGCACCGGCCGTTCTACTAAACGCTGATATGGTAGCTTTCTTCCGATGCAATTTTCTCAGTTTACAAGACACAGTTTCAGATATACGAGGCCGTCACTACCTCGAAGATTGCTTCATGCAAGGTTCCGTAGATTTTATCTGGGGCAGTGGCCAATCAGTGTACAAGGTAATATTGACATATATCATTCACTCATTTAAATGATCTATTTTTATGGAAAAGTAATTAGTATATTTTTTGATTCAATATATCTTTCAACACTTAACTTATTTAATTATTAAAATATAACATAAATACAACTAATTCAACATATTCTTATATGTTATATGTATATGTGTATTTATAATTTTATTTTTTTATTTTTAGATAAAAAA